TCCAGTTTAGCAGTGGTAGTAGAAGTACCAGTTTAGCAGTGGTAGTAGAAGTACCAGTTTAGCAGTGGTAGTAGAAGTACCAGTTTAGCAGTGGTAGTAGAAGTTCCAGTTTAGCAGTGATAGTAGAAGTACCAGTTAAGCAGTGATAGTAGAAGTACCAGTTTAGCAGTGGTAGTAGAAGTTCAAGTTTAGCAGTGGTAGTAGAATTACCAGTTTAGCAGTGGTAGTAGAATTACCAGTTTAGCAGTGATAGTAGAAGTACCAGTTTAGCAGTGGTAGTAGAAGTACCAGTTTAGCAGTGGTAGTAGAAGTACCAATTTAGCAGTGATAGTAGAAGTACCAGTTTAGCAGTGGTAGTAGAAGTTCCAGTTTAGCAGTGATAGTAGAAGTACCAGTTTAGCAGTGATGGTAGAAGTTCCAGTTTAGCAGTGATAGTAGAAGTACCAGTTTAGCAGTGATAGTAGAAGTACCAGTTTAGCAGTGGTAGTAGAAGTTCCAGTTTAGCAGTGGTAGTAGAAGTACCAGTTTAGCAGTGATAGTAGAAGTACCAGTTTAGCAGTGATAGTAGAAGTTCCAGTTTAGCAGTGATAGTAGAAGTACCAGTTTAGCAGTGATAGTAGAAGTACCGGTTTAGCAGTGGTAGTAGAAGTACCAGTTTAGCAGTGATAGTAGAAGTACCAGTTTAGCAGTGATGGTAGAAGTTCCAGTTTAGCAGTGATAGTAGAAGTACCAGTTTAGCAGTGGTAGTAGAAGTTCCAGTTTAGCAGTGATAGTAGAAGTACCAGTTTAGCAGTGATGGTAGAAGTTCCAGTTTAGCAGTGGTAGTAGAAGTACCAGTTTAGCAGTGATAGTAGAAGTACCAATTTAGCAGTGGTAGTAGAAGTACCAGTTTAGCAGTGGTAGTAGAAGTACCAATTTAGCAGTGGTAGTAGAAGTACCAGTTTAGCAGTGGTACGCTGGGTATCAGTTTAGCAGTGGTAGTCCGGGTATCAGTTTAGCAGTGGTAGTCCGGGTATCAGTTTAGCAGTGGTAGTCCGGGTATCAGTTTAGCAGTGGCAGTCCGGGTATCAGTTTAGCAGTGGTAGTCCGGGTATCAGTTTAGCAACGGTACTCTGGGTATCAGTTTAGCAGTGGTAGTCCGGGTATCAGTTTAGCAACGGTACTCTGGGTATCAGTTTAGCAGTGGTAGTTCGGGTATCAGTTTAGCAGTGGTAGTCCGGGTGTCAGTTTAGCAGTGGTAGTCCGGGTATCGGTTTAGCAGTGGTAGTCCAAGTATCGGTTTAGCAGTGGTAGTAGAAGCATTTGAATTCGTGGTTCAATGGTAAAAATAAGTATGTTGTTCATGTGTCGCAATATTCGATACTATTCCTTTTGCAAAACATCGTGATTATAGTTGCCGGGTCAGTGAACCTGTTCTCACCGCTACAGGATGTACACATGGACAAGGTACAGGATCACAGTGCCAGCATAATAGTTACACATTCCTAAACTACGTTTAACTGACAAGTTTTTGTTATCTTTTAACGTGTCGAAAAACGAAGTACGCTGTCCGCGTTTCGTGTATTTGCAAAGAAAAATGAACCACTTTTTCTCATCCCTGTCAGCTCATCTGTGTGAAACTTGTTGCGTTTAAAACATGATGAAACACCCTCGTGTTCTCGGTCGCCGTTACTCACACACCCGGTATCTAGGTCCTTATACTGTTGCGTTTATAACATGATGAAACACCCTCGTGTTCTCGGTCGCCGTTACCCACACACCCGGTATCTAGGTCCTTATACTGTTGCGTTTATAACATGATGAAACACCCTCGTGTTCTCGGTCGCCGTTACTCACACACCCGGTATCTAGGTCCTTACATCAAAGTTCGAATAAACGAGTTTCTTTTCGAGTTTATTTGTCACATGTAATAAAACAATTCTGTCTTTCGGTTAGATGATTTTGAAAAAAGCAGGACAGATATACAATGCGATATTTTGTGTACCTTTATCAAGGAATACCCAGGGATAAAAAGATTATATTAATGTGTAACTGGCTCTCTGAATCAAGGGCTGTTTAAGAATATTACCACTTACAAAAGTGTATGTTGTGACTTGTCCCATCTTCACGAGGCAAGGGCATTAACTGACTATGAAAGTCGAGTTTCCACATAGTTAACTCCCTTGCCTCGGGAAGATGGACTTGTCCAGGAATATATTCATTTCAGTTTAAAGAGGATTTTGAGTATTCGGAGATTGATAATAATTATTTTGCTAATCCTCGGAACAGATTCGAATGTTGTTATAAATAATGTCGTGAAATTCGACCAGATTTTCGCAACAAATTTCGATCACTTTAAAACAAGAGTCAAAGCATCATATAGAATCTGAAGCATTTGTCTTATTGAATCTACGAGCTTTGTTAAAGGGAAACCTCTTTTACTCGAACTTCGTCATCTCGATAAATCGATAATGTCTCGAAACACGGATATCTCGACATGCAATTATGGTTATCATCGAGTAACGAGGTTTCATTGTTCTCTGGACCGATGGACTTATTTCACTCTACCGTAAATAGTTCAATAGACGCCTGACTTGAGTTCAAGCCGGTTCTGAGACTTGCTAAATGAATAAACCCCTGCCTCGAAAAGACGCCGGGTCAAAACATCTAGACAGACATTGCTTTAGGTACTAAGTAAAGTGATACTGAAACGAAAACCGTTATTATAAAAAAATGCAATCCACACACGTTTTATTCAATCTAAAAAAAAATGAGATCTTAGTGTTTGCTATCGCTACACAAGCACTAGAGAGCACTAACATCTCATTCTAATGAGATTGTTTTTTTATTCAAACGACATGCCCCATCTTTATGAAACTTAAAAGTGTTTACCTTAATAGGATGCTTGCCTTTGATAGACGCCGAATGTAAGACGTCTATGAAATAAATAGACGCCACGACGTCTATTCAATGATTTACGGTAATTTGATTAATCTCAAGTCAGCATACATACGTATATCCACGTGCACACATATATTAAAATGTCTCTGCGTAATTGCCACGTGAATTCTACCCAAACAATTCATCACAGAGTCACATGGTATCAACCGAAACAATTCATCACAGAGTCACGTGGTATCAACCGAAACAATTCATCACAGGGTCGCACGACATCAACCCCTACAATTCATCACAGAATCCTCGTGACATCATTGCCAGGCATGCCATCAAGGTGATGAATTACCAATTTCAGGGTCAACCCCCGTTAACCCTCTGCTCTCTTCTGTCGCCGTCAAACGACTACATTGTACAACCTCCGTCCAGATACAAACAGAAGTGCTGTACGTGACTTTGTCTAAACAGACAGCAGCAGAACGCCGGACCTCGAGGACGCCGCTTGTACGTGACATCAGCGACAGTTGCGGCGTCATCGACATCATGGAACACGGCGGAGAGTGGCTCGAAGCTAATTAGTACGCAAGGAGAGTGTCTAGGAATTTCGGAACAAATGGAGAAGAGTAGAATGTATGAGATTGGATGAAGTAATGGATGCTTGCGATGGTTTCTGATGGATTATCCCGCCCCGTGAATGATTGCGTCGATTGTACGCATAAGACCGTCATAACTTTACATGTTGCGTTTGTTTGTACGTTCCCGGCCTGCGGCTAAACTGTGACTGCTGGTATCAGCGAATAAATCCGATTGCAGCGAGGCAACTATTTTTGTGGATGCTTATTTAATACTGACTTGATGCAATTACCGATTGTAAACAGCTAATGGACTTAAGAGTGGAGTATAAGAAGGACAACAATTTGTCGGTATGTATATTTGTAGATATGAACGTCAAGAATGAATTGTTGGTCGGCATATCTTAGAAGTTGACGGATGACAAAGTAGACAAAAATTTATGGATAACAACTTCTTTATCAAACTGTAATGGTGACGTTTCGGTATAGATCCTTCTACCGTTGTCAAGCAAGGACAACGGTATAAGAAAATATAATATGGTTCACAATATGTGAATCAATAATTTCCATATTTATAAAGCACATGAGTAATAATTATTTCCCTAGCACAACACTGATGACGTATTGCCGGTACCACTGTTGAAATTATACACACATTATTGTTGACAAATAGTTTATGACGCTACAATAACAATGACGTCACAGAGTTTCATAGTTGACGTCATGTTGACCCCATTTGCTTCAGGGAGAGGTTTTCAAAGTAGAAGACATTACTTTTAAAGTGTTGAAAATACAACTATAATATAGTCATTAATTGGTCTGTATCGTACCGAAACTCAGAATACCTTTTTTTTCGAAGGAGAGCGGTACTTAATTTATCATCCAAAACTGGCTCTCACAGGAGATATGGCTTGGGTGAGATCAAGTGATATCTACACTGTAGTTATCGCTGCAATGGAATTGCATCACAATGCTTTGCGGACCATTGTGACGTCATTGTTACCATGACGTCACAATCAAATGACATCACTAATGGCTCTGCTACTGAAGGTGTTAGCAGTACTTTTTACACATAAGACACTGCTTATTACTGCCTACAAACTGAAAAAGTTGGAAGAATGATGTTGGATGATAAATAAAATATCACCCTCGTGTCTTTTGATATCAAATATATCAACACTCGTTGATAAAAGTGTCAATAATCCTCGGCAAGCCTCGGAAGTTTTCCCACTTTTATCAACTCGTGTCGATATATTTGATATCAAAAGACACGAGGGTGAGATACTCTATATAATCCCCATTTATCACCCTGTGACATGCGAGCTGTTTATAGCCACTCTCTATCTGCGTCTAATATCTGCCAATATCAGTATTATATATAGATTAACAAAACTAGGGCTCAGTTTCACATTCATAATACTCTTTTATCCACTATCAACAGGGGGTGGTTTATCAAGTAGACTGATACGACTTCATACGATAATCGTGTCCGACAAACTTGCCCGTGTTACCGCGGCTGTGTAAACGATTGGCTCGTTCATTCCGGAAGTAAATCTGTCAAGGCGAGACACACGTGTGGAAATTTAGGGACTTCACCTTCTTGTGTTTATTGTTGTAGTTGACAGTGGTCTCGTTCAGCCGAACAGGGTAGTGTTTTCACTGTGGCGCTATTTGGCGAGGAACGTTATGACTGAGCGTCTGCTGCTGAGATGGCCATTGACAGAGTCTAACAAACTTCACTAACTGACTTCGTCAACACCTTCTCACACCCAACAAATGATAATTTGTCAACGTTGGACGTCAGTGACAGTGCTTGTCGATCTTTGGAGTGAGGGATTACAGTTTTCTATGGTGAGTACTTTCCTGACCAACTTGATTACTCTCAGACAGCTGTAGCGGGTTCTAGTGTGATAACAATGATACCACATTTGTTGTTATCGTTTGTTTTCGCCTTGGGGTGAGTTAGTTTTGTTTACTCTGCTTTTAAGAGTATTTCAGCTACATCACGCCGTGTCGGCATCAACACACGGTGATGTGGACCTCACAGCTTCACCGCTGTGTGAAACCAGTTGTGGGTATGGTGCTGACAAACCCAAAAATATAATCAGGGCCCCGTTCCACAAAGCGATCTTAGGGCTAAGTCGATCGTAACTCCCATTCTTTAACATTGACTTACGACCGTCGTAGGGCTAAGATCGCGTTGTGGAACAGTGTCCAGGGCGAGTCTCTGATTCGAACACAGGGTCGCACACCGCTCTGCACATCAAATTGTGGCACCTCAGACGACTGCCTGTTTTAAACATGGTTGAGTCAGTCCTACACTTTACAGAAGAAATACTTTTCCCAGTCCAAATGTTATAAGGTTTATATTTTTTACAATAACATGAAGATACCAAAACAGTAACAGGAAAAGTTAACATAAACTTGTGTTAACTGAAACTACGTCACATGAACGATGATGTACACATTCAACAGTTGTGATGATGGGAATTTAAATTCATTTGATGACCGAAAGTATTACTGATCATTAGTCATGCATTAATATAGCTCCATGTATAATAATAATGATAATTCATGATGATGATGATGATGATAATAATAAGACCGTCTCCGGGGTCTAGTGGATGGAGTATATCTGCCCGGAGAGTGAAGTGTGGTACTTTGATCTCTAGCTGAATCTTACAAACAGATCTTATAGGATGGTACTTGTGGTTACCCTGTCTGGCGGTTGGCATTAAGTAGCTATAGATAAAACAAGGATTGATCAGCTAGGAGTCTCTCTCTCACACCCACATCACACCCACACATGAAACCGACGTTTGTCTGTACTAGTATAAACAGCCACACACCCACTCACCCACACGCCCACACACAGCAATGATAATCCCCATTTCACCTCACCACCAATAATAATAATCATTTTAATTATGTATACATTGTTCTTTTGAACAGTATTTTTTATTCTGGGTGTGTTTAATGACAGTAATACCATGCAAATGATATACATTTCAATTCAAGGCAGCCAGATATCTCCGATACCCTATTTCAGGATTTCAACAATTGCAAATTTCAAAAGCCAGGATGACTTTGGTTGCCATCCAACTCCATTTTGCCTGTTAAGTTCTGCAATTGGGACCTGGGGGAACATAACGGCCCTCTTGAAGAGAATATACATTAATTGTACCAACCCAGCTCTACGTTTGAATTTCATCTTACAGCTAGTGACGTGTATTCATTTATGACACAATAAGTTTTATAGAGATTAATTTTACATTGTTGAAAGAAAAGCAACAATGCCCTATATATTAATATCCTATTTTTCATGGACGAGAAAGGAAACAGGACGTGAACACAGGAAGTTGCTGTCAGCTGTACAAGGAATATGATCATGAAACATGCACTAGAGGGAATCAATGACTGTCAGTTAATACAAAACACTGACTTAAAAAATACATGTGAAACTTGTATATCACCATGCTTTGTAGGATTAGAACTGTAGTTTTTCTCCAGTGTGCCATGCGGAACTGAAAAATATGTTTGATGTACTCTTTTGTTGATGTAACAAGGAAGAAATGCCATTCAATTGAATTGAAATAGGTTATTTAAATGTTTGTTCCATGCAAATGGTCAGTGTGTTTGTCCAATGTACTTGTGTGGAATACATTTATCACTAGCTTCACATCATAAAAGTCACTTCTTTTTTTTGAAAATGTGAATTCTGCGTGTGGCACAGGATGTTGTTTCAACAGTGCCATTTTCATTTTAGCCAAGTCATTGGCACTTTAATACAACATGATACAAGCAATACCGAAACTTTGCTATTGCACCATGCTTTTGAGGCCTGAAGCTTGACATGTATATGAATAGCAACATGTATGTGAAACCAACTTTACTTATCACCATAGCAACACGTAATTGGGTCCAACTTTACGTATCACCATGGCAATATATATGTGAGAGCAACTTTACGTATCTATCACTGTAGCAGCGTGCATGTGGCACCAACTTTACTTATCACCATAACAACACGTATATTGGTCCAACTTTACATGTCACCATGGCAACATATATGTGAGAGCAACTTTACGTATCTGTCACTGTAGCAGCGAGTGTGTGGGACCAACTTTACATAATTATAACCACAGCAAAATGTCTGTGACACCAGCTGTACTGGGGCTGGGCCGAGTCCAAATTTACTTCCCGGGTACCCACACCCCTATACCCAACCCTACCCGGGTACCCACACCCCTATTACCCAACCCTACCCGGGTACCCACACCCCTATTACCCAACCCTACCCGGGTACCCACACCCCTATTACCCAACCCTCCCCAGGTACCCTCACCCCTATTACCCAACCCTACCCAGGTACCCACACCCCTATTACCAGACCCTACCCGGGTACCCTCACCCCTATTACCCAACCCTACCCGGGTACCCAACCCCCTATTACCCAACCCTACCCGGGTACCCAACCCCCTATTACCCGATCCTACCCGGGTACCCCTATAGCTCTCAAGAGATAGGTACAATATGTCCGATTGGTAATAGTTTGACTGTAGCCCTGGCAAAAAGTATTTAGATACACTTATAAAACGATCTGGTCATGCATTCACTGAAGTTGACTAAAGTTTTATCTTTATTCAAACATATAAAGTCAGAGGAATGGGTGCATAGTCAGAAATGTTAACATAAGTGACTTGTAGTGTAACCATAGAGTTCAAGATAATTTTTGCTATTAAACAATATATCACGTAACGAACCATGGGCCCGGGTTGTCAAGGGGGTACCCGGGTCCTCCTCAGTACCTACCCGACCTGAGTACCCGAGTTACCCGTCCCAGCCCTACACTGTACCTATCACCGTAGCAACACATAATGATGTGGCTAATCATTTCAACATTACATCATCGTTTGGAGTAAATGATGTATTACCCTATTTCATAGTTTTAAGCAGCTGTGGGGGAGGAAATGAATTAAGAGGTCACAAAATATATCTTACAGGAAATAGTTCAGAATAGAATAGTTAGGTTCTGCACGACTTTGTTTGTGTAAGCCCCTTAGTGATCATAAGCCATCCCTCCTTCTCAAGAATGAACAGAGTTAGATAACCTTCCTTAGATAAAGACATTTCTAAGTTGCACCTCAGACCGAGAACAGCTATGAATGGAGAGAGGGGTGGTGGAGTTTGTTTCTTTGTTTAATGACGCACTCAGCAGTATTCCAGCTATATGACGGTGGTCTGTAAAAAATCAAGTCTGGACCAGACAATCAAGTGATTGACATCATGAGCATCAATCTACGCAATAGGGATACAATGACATGCATCAACCAGGTCAGCGAGCTTGACCACCTGATTATGTTAATTGCCTCTTACGACAAACATAATAATGATTATCATTGGACTCCATATGCTTGTCGTAGGAGGCGACTAACGGGATCGGATGGTCAGGCCCACTGACTTGGTTGATGTATGTCATCGTATCCCAATCGCGTAGGTTGATGCTCATGATGTCAACCACTGGATTTTCTAGTCCCGATCCTTTACTGACTGGAATATTGCCGAGCGTGGCTCAATCCTATTAGTCATGGGTTCCTGAAGACCAATTGTAACCCGGTTCGTAATGGTTGACTATACCTTGGCTTCAGTGGGATAGCCCTGCTGGCGATAAGAGTACTTCATACTTTCAATTGGGAGCGGTCGGGTAGCCTAGTGGTTAAAGCATTCGCTCGTCACGCCGAAGACCCGGGTTCGATTCCCAACATGGGTACAATGTGTGAAGCCCATTTCTGGTGTCCCCCGCCGTGATATTGCTGGAATATTGCTAAAAGCGGCGTAAAACCATACTCACTCACTCACTCACTCATACTTTCAATTGCATGTACATATTATCTCCGGGGGCGTTGGGGTAGCCTTTTGGTTAAAGTGGTCGCTCGTCACACCAAGACCCGGGTTTGTTTCCCCACATGGGTAACCTGTGTGAACCTCATTTCTGGTGTCCCCCATTTCTGGTGTCCCCCGACACGATGTTGCTGGAATATTGCTAAAGCGGCGTAAAACCATACTCACTCACTCATAATATCTTGTCTAACTACAGGAAGAAATTTATTCTTAGACTGGTTTAGATTGTATGAATCAAATGTTCTGAGGCAAGTCTTATTATGGACTCAACTGACTGGTGCCTTAAGCCAGAATCAGAAAATATATGTTGATGTTTCTATTTATTTTAATTCGCCTGATGTATAAATATGAAAAATATGAAAATACTAAAATAATTGACAGTGTTGTTCCGTGACTGTGGCCTTGCGGGATTCCCTCAACATTTCTTTGCATGACGCAATTAAAATACAACAACACGTCTGGCTGGGCGCACAAAGCTTTTCACCTTCACTAACCTCAATGTAATTTTAATCCGAAAGATCGTGTATTATAAGTAAACATAACAATCAAACATCAGCATGTTTTTTAAGCCAAATGTATCCGCCATGTTTGAGTTTACTATAGTGATATTTTTTACCAATCGTAGGCAAGCTTACAATTAATGACAGCAGGACTGCACTGAATATTATTTTCCGATCAGTCAGATTTATTGTTTCTAAATAGATACTGTCATAGCCAGCAGTGACAAACATGGTGCCTGCTAAACCGAAGAAGTGACAAATGCACATGAAAACATTTCTTTTGAATTAAAAGTTTTTATTGCAGTTTATACCATGTTTTATTGAATTAAGACCATCAAAATTAAAGGACAGTACATAGCATTAAAAAATCATCATCAATTTTGCTTTATTAGGGATGAGGCCCTCCAAAATTTTAGAAGACCCCCTTAATTGACACCAAGGGGCCCTAAG